AAAAAACCCCCGCCGCCGCCGCTTCCGGAGGAGGAGTATCAGCAGTTCGTAGACTCCGATCTCTGGGATCTGCCTTCAAATCTGCTGAAACCTCTGAGAGGAGACGAAAGATGTAATCTTGTGATCGAAGGTGCGGATTCTATCTCTGATAGGGTTGATCTCGGAGGTTTCGATGTTGGATCCGCTCTTGAGCAGGTGGAATTTTGGTGTTAAATCCCTAGGGTTTTTTTTTTGTTAGGTTTTTGTGTGGTTGTGAATGGATTATGGTTTTGTTTTTTTAGGTTGTATTGCAAGTAGGCTTGGAAGGTGAAGAAATTGGAATTTGGGCTCTTATGAAGTATGTCGAAGAAGCTGATTTTGGTCCCGGACCGCCAATTCACACGCTGTACGTAGTTGGGGTTTTGGACCGGAAAATAGAAAATTTAGGAGGTTTGTTTCTCTGGCATGCTTCCTTTCTTCGTGTTGGAAAAGCATAATAAATATCTTGACTCTTTGGTGCACATAAATACCCATGCATATATGTCAACGAAGTCTATTGTGTAATATATGCACGCGCACTTGCGCACTTCATAATTCCACGTCCAGACGTCCTGCATTCGAAGGAATTATCATGTTCGAGGCCTGTTTCTCTGCCGTAATAATAACTATTGTGTGTGCCCGTGTTTCTTAGAACAGGACTTAGCCCTTAATCCCGTCGATTCTCTTCCTTCAAGCTATGCATTATGTTTCCAACAATGTGCTTTTAGTCAAATTCCATACTGGTAACGTCTTTGATTAGAAAACTGGTAGGCTGTAGTCCTATCTTCTTGCTTTTAGTCTCTTCAGATATTTTAACTTTTAAAAAAGAAACATAACTCCCTGTATGTCTCATGATTGGTAATTGGTATGTTTGTGTTATATTATAATAGATGATAGGGAAAATTTGCAAAGTAGACCGTTTTTATAAAGTAATTAGCGAAATAGACCATTTTTTAAAGTAATTAGCAAAATAGGCCGTTTTTTGGCAAAAGAGGTCGATTTTGAAAAAGGGTTCAGAAAACATACGGGACTACTAGTCCCGTATGTTTTGTTAACAAACAGAAAATATACGGGACTAGTAGTCCCGTATATTTTCTGAGTGAGATTAAACATACGGGACTAGTAGTCCCGTATGTTTTCTGAACCCTTTTTCAAAATCGACCTCTTTTGCCAAAAAACGGTCTATTTTGCTAATTACTTTTAAAAACGGTCTATTTCGCTAATTACTTTATAAAAACGGTCTATTTTGCAAATTTTCCCTAGATGATAAGTTGAAACAACATGTCCTGCTAATTTCTATTGAATATATTAAAATGAACATTATACTAGTTTGTCAAATGGATGGTTTTGGGTGGGTCATAAATGGGAGGGCACATTTATGCCCATCTATGACCCATGTAACATTTGCTTAATGGGTTACTTCTCACCCACCCATTTATTAAATGGATGGTTCATGAGTGACCCAATAACCCATTTAGCTATGATGCTTTTATATATATATTAAAATTTCAGGGGTCTATTTACAAATGTAAGGCATACTTGCAAAACTTTGATGGGCTATTTGCAAAATTTTGGGGGCTTTATGCGAATATGTTTTTTTTTGCAAACTAATAAGAGGCTTTTTGCAAACTTTTGGGGACTTTCCAAACTTTTGTTGGTTTCTGCAAACATCGTGATTTTTGCAAACTAATGAGGGTCTTTTTGCAAACTTTTGGGGTGTTTTATGCAAACTTTCAAGGATATTTTGTAAACTTTGGGGGTTTTAGCAAACGTTTAGCGGCTTTCTACAAAATTTTAGGGTGTTTTCTGCAAACTTTCAAGGGGCTTTCTATGAACTTTTTAGGGGCTTTCTGTAACTTTTGAGAGGCTTTCTACAAACTCTCAGAGAATTTTTTGCAAACTTACAAATGACATAGGATGATATGAAATTTAGAAACTACTAATAGCCCCCAGTAAATTTGAAAATTAGGGAAAAAACACCCTCAATGTTAAAAAAAAATCAAAAAGCACCCTCAAAAGTTTAAATAATTACAAAAAAACCGTCAAGAGTTCAAACTTACAAAAACTCTCAGAAATTTCTAACCTCGCAAATGACAAATGAGATGTGGAAATTTCCACCAACACCCTATAAATTTAAATTTTGCAAAAAACACTCAAAAAATTTGAAAAAAAATGAAAAACACCCTCAAGGGTTTAAAATTGGTAAACCACCATTTGGAAATTGCTATCATTCTCTGTAAATTTGGAATTTGAAACAATACCCTCAAAGTTTAAAAAATTGCAAAAGATCACCCTCGAAAGTTCTTAAGAAATTTCTAAAGTCACAAATGACGCTTAAAATTTAGAAATTTATAGCAGCCACTTGTGACTTTGAAATTTGCAAAAAACACCCTCAAAATTTCAAATATTGCAAAGAACACCCTTATAATTTCAAAAATTGCATAAAACACCATAAAATTCCAAAACATGCAGAAAAACACACTACAAAATTGGAAATTAAAAGCATCATCTTCGGGTTGTGCTACAAAATGTCAAACTTAAGGGAGTTTTTTTGCCATTTTTTAAACTTTGTGAGTGTTTTTTCCAATTTTCAAATTTACAGAGGATTGCTGGCAATTTCCAAATTTCATGTGTCATTTGTACATTTTGAAATTTCAGGGTGGTTTTTGTAATTTTAAACCCTTTAGTGTTTTTCATATTTTAAAAAACTTTGAGGGCTAGAAATTTCCAGATTTCATGTATCATTTGTAAGTTTAGAAATCTTTGAGAGTTTTTTTGTAATTTTGAACTCTTCATGGCGTTCTTTGTAATTTTTTAAACTTTGAGGGTGTTTTCTACAAATTCCAAATTTATAGGGGGCTGCTTGCAATTTCTAGATTTCATGTGAGATTTGTAGGTTGTGAAATTTCTGCATGGTTTTACTACTTTTAAATCCTTAAGGGTGTTTTTTGCATTTATAGACTTTAAGGGTGTTATTTGCAAATTTTAAATGCATTGGGTACTGCTGGGAATTTTCATATTTCATGTGTCAGTTGTAAGTTTGTAAAATTCTGAGAGTTTTTTTGTAATTTGAAATTTTGAAGGTATTTTTTTACAAGTTTTAAACTTTGAGGGTGTTTTTTGCAAATCTTAAATTTTCAAGGGGCTGCTGGTATTTCCCATATTTTATGTGTGCTGGTTTTTTTTACAATTGTTAAAACTTTGAGGGTGTTTTTGAAAGAATGCCCATCTAAATGGGCAAATGGGCGGGTTTTATGACCCATTTATCCTTAATATAAACAATAGTCACTCATTTATGACCCATTTAACTAAATGGGTGTGTTCACCCATTTATGACCCATTTAACTAAATGGGTGGGTTTGGATGGATCATTTAGTGGGCGGGTATGTGTGGGCAAATGAGTTTGTGTCAAATTTTGGACAAATTTTCAAAACCAACCTTATTCACTATTTAATTGTAAAAAACGACCGTTTTTCAACAATTCGACCGAACGCTTCTCTTCGTGTAAGACATGAATGAGACCCATATCGTAGTCACTTGATATTTGAATGCCACTTGTTCTGTTCCCCACAACAGGATAATTGCAAACCACACTGAGATGATACTCACGTGAGTTAGTTAATGTAAGTTTGTGTAATTCATTAACCAACTCATCGAAAGTACACGATTTTGTTATGAATAATGGTCTCGTCGCGCCTCCTTCATAAACGAGCATATTATTTTCGAGGTAATTAATCTTCCCATCATAAGAACAGAGAATTATGATTTGATCGTTCATCGTTACCTTTGAAGAGTGAAAAATTCAAGATCAATATTACACGAAAAGCCAAATAAATATTGATTGTTATTAATTTTTACATTTAGGTAGTAACTCACTAACTCTAATTTCCACATTAATTGATAATTTCACCTCTAAATACACAAAATTATTTAATTTTTCTTCATAAAATTCGTAAATAATTCACAATTAAATTCTAAAATCTAATTTATGTCATACATATGTAGTAACACTAATTTTCGCATTTATTGATAATTTCCCCTCTAATTTTACAAAATTATTGGTAATTTCCACACTAATTCCACGAAATTATTGATAATTTCCACACTAATTCTTCACAAATTTCACAAAATTATTGATAATTTCCCCTCTAATTTTCACATTTATTGATAATTTCCCCTCTAATTTTCGCATTTATTGATAATTTCCCCTCTAATTTCACAAAATTATCGATAATTTCCACACTAATTCCACGAAATTATTGATAATTTCCACACTATTTCTTCACAAATTTCACAAAATTATTGATAATTTCCCCTCTAATTTTCACATTTATTGATAATTTCCCCTCTAATTTTCACATTTCTTCACAAAATTCGTAAATAATTCACAATTAAATTCTAAAATCTAGATTTTTACATGTAATCACAATCAAATAGTGAGAGTATACAAAAATTGGCGGCATTTCCCAGAGAGCGCTTTCTGGGAAATGCGGCCTGTAACTCCACGGGAGCTGAACTCCCGTGGAGTTTGATATGTTCATAAATCTTCACGGGAGTTGAACTCCCGTGAAGATTTATGAAGAAATTAAACTTCACGGGAGTTCAACTCCCGTGAAGTTTAATTTCTCAATAAACTTCACGGGAGTTGAACTCCCGTGAAGTTTCGGAAAACTTTTAACAAAAACCGACCTGTTTTCAGCGCTGGGCTGAAAACATGTCGGTTTTTGTAAATATTATCAAAAGCGGTCGGTTTTTGCAAATAAAAACCCAAAATGGTCTGTTTTGAAAAATTGTCCGTCAAAATTTCCTTCCCTACATTATACGTACTAAAATGACATCACTCAAGTATCTAAACACACATGAATATCATCAACATCGAAAGCCTTTTTCCCAATTTTTTGGTGTTGGATTCATGAATCCTTGATTTAGCTTTATTTTTGCAGTCTCTTCTATTAGGTTAACAACTTGTTTATCCTTTTTAACTCTATCCATGGTCATTTTGGCGTATCCCAAGTCCTCATTATTATAATTGGTGCTTCCAATGGTCTTTACTCTTTAGTGCAGATGCCAACTTGATGTCAGTCATTTCTTTGATATACTCTCTGTGTTCTTATAAGAACCCTCATTTCTTGACCCATCTTAGTCTCTCTAACTTGTTTTGTATGTATGTATGTAATATTTATGTAATGCATGTAGTCTTCTCTTACTGTATATGTTCAGATTCTTGTAAATGGATATCCAAGGATACTGCATTGGGTTTGCTCCTGGAAGTAAGCAAATATTCTGATCGCATTGGACCTTTTGTGTTTATTGGATTACTGCATGATTCAACTGACAGCGAAAAGTGGAAAGACTCTCTGACCACTCTCTATCAGGTTCTCTTTTCTTCTGTTGAGTATGTTTTACTCCACATTGTGTGCTTTTAACATATATGTCCATACCACTGATGAAATATTGAGCTATGTAAGTCTTTTCACATTATCTCATAGCACAAATAAACACTATGTACCATTCTGAAGTAGCATATACCGTACCCTATTTCAATATAGTGTATGCTATTTCAAATAAAAAAATGTTATTTCAATATAGCTCATGTTTATTCAATATGTGACTTATATTATGGGCTTGAGGATATTTTCTTTGTTTGATTTGTTTTTGACTTGAAGTCGTTAAGTCTTTGCTTTTGGATTTTTTAATGGTTTCTTTTGTTGTCGTAATTGATGTTTGGTGACATTATTATCCTTGTGATTGTTAACTTGTGATTTATGAAAATGAACTGAATGTGAAATTACGAACGGGATGCAAATTTCTGTTGATAATATCTGCATATCTTTTTGTGATACTTAGTTGTAAATTAGTATAACTTGCATGTTTTTCATAATTTTATTAACAAATTAGTTTCAACGTGCTACAGGCTGTAGGAGCCCTCTTTTGTGGATCTAAACCGTAAACCAGTTTTCAAGAATGCTGAATGGATTAGGTTATAGAGTGCTTTGAACATTAACGGTTGTTGATACTAAAATTGTTAGAAATGAGAACAACGCTGCTGTGGTTGTACTAACAGTGAGAATAGACAATGCAAATAATAGCTGAAGATAGACATAAGCTTATTAATTTCATTTAAAGAATTATGGATGCATGGCTTGGTCAAAGTGGTTTGCTACTGATTAAGCTACATTGTACTTAGCTTATGCTCTCCTAACATAATCATTATTCTGTTTTTAAACTTCCCCTCAAATAGAGCATTCTGTGTTTTCCATTATTTTTTATGAGAGACTAGGTGAGCTTTCTCGAGAAGACTTCCAACAATCAGCGGAGGGTCGCTCCACCTTTTTTGTTTTAGAGGGATCTTAAGTATGTGTTGATAAAGCTTGATTCCAAGCTCCGTTGATAATATGAATGAGATGTTGATTCGGAGAAGATTGGGGGGTTTTTGGTTGAATAGAGGATGACACAAGCTGTTCTTTTTCCTACGGGCCTATGGATGACCCTCTTATAGGAAGAAGATAGCTCCGGTGAGGGGAGTAGTTGCTCTCGTGGGTGATTAGAAACTCTTTGAGAGGATAAACTCCAGTGAAGGAGGGATAGTGGCTATTGGTTAGTTTGGAACCCAAGCCCTTGTGAAGGGTCTTGATCTTGGCTAGGAGATCAAGGAAGGGAAAATAGGATCCCAAGGCAGCTCAAGGGACTCCTCAGGATCAAAGACTTAGGTCAGTGATGAACTAAAGTCTATGTCTTCGTCTCTATCGCAGAAGATGAACTCAAGGTGAAGGAGATGGGAACCAAAGGCCAAAGCCAAAATCAGAGCCCAGGACTAGACCTAAAGAGGGTAACCCATGGAGAGAGCTAGCCCTTTTCTTGTGCGGCGGAGGGCCTCTATTATAGAGAGAATCACCCACTCTTATGCGCTCTTAGGTTTAGGCGCACCTAATACTTACGCCGGGCTAATCCAACAACCTGCAGAGTTCTGCGCTCTGACAGACCGTGTGAGGCATGGACGTACAGTACTTTTTTCCCGATGGAGTGTACTTTACACCGACCAAGGAGCCACGTGTCAACTGAACTTCCTGTTGCTTTGTTAAGTCCACTTCACCAAAAGGTGGTGTTTGGTCTTCTAGTGCACGGTGCTCAGGTGCTGTTCTGACTTGTGGCAGGTCTGACTGCCAGTTCAACTGCTCATCCGTGGGGGGTTGGGTGACACCCACGTAAGGCACCAAGTCTGCGTAAAGGCTTTGAACCCCGCGTACATGTGACTTAGGCATCTTTATGCGGACTTTTGAATTGATTCTGGCCTAGCCTTGGCTTCGGACCTCATAAACTTGTATCCTCAGCCAATCGTGGGTGCATGTAGCTTTGGTGAATCCTTGGCCATGCTTTCAATGACCATCTTACCCTGAGTAGACCTTTCGTGGATTCTAGAGTAGTCTAGTCGGTGACTCGGTGGTTCGACATTTTTCACCATCAACAGTCTGAAGACTATACACAAATATGAATGTCATGCTAATCTTTCTTCATCGATTCATTAAATGGTCAAATAAGTGTTCTGCCTATTCTTGATGCATCTATTATATAGATATCAGGTTGTTGACTGATTCCATGACATGGTCTATCACCCTTCCCTTCACATGAAATGTTGCACTAATGGTCTATCACCTTTCCCTTCACATGAAATGTTGCACTAATGGTCTATCACCTTTCCCTTCACATGAAATGTTGCACTAGGCTGACTATATAATGCACTTATTTTGGATCAGGAATACCCTCCAGGTGTCATGCTTTTCCCTATGAAGAGTATAACGGGAGAACCTTTTCATACAACAAATCTTGTTGTTATGGTACCACACAATGTTGGTAATAATAAATCTGAAAGTTCAGCTTATATCACTTATGGAGATGCATTGCTTATGGATCCTGGTTGTTGTACACAATCCCAATCAGAGGTATGGCTACTTAAGTTCTGTGTTCATTTTGAAGATTTGCAAATTGATAATTTGTACACAAGCCCATTCAGAGGTATGACTACTTAAATTATGTGTTCATTTTGAAGATTTGCAAATTGGTAACATCTTATTGATTTATGGTCTTTCTTCAGAGTACACTTCTATTTATTGCATGTTTTAAGACACATGAGTAATTGAGACCGCTCTCTTTTGGTTTTCTTCTTTACATATTTTATGACTTTCTTTATATTCTTTAAAAAAAGTTGTCAGCACTTTTTTTCACTAAAGATCTAATCTATTAAAATCTAATCTATTAAAGCCCTAATATGTTAAGTCTTGCCTTTTATTGATGCCATTTCTCGATTTTATAAAATGGCTTGAGAACTATTTGATCATAATCATCAGGTAATCACAGATTATCGGGATGTAATATATGGTCTTAATGATTAATTTGTTATAAAGAGCAGGAGAATCTATTAGGTGAATTGCAGTCATGTTCTTATAAGATGTTTATTGTTTCCTTAATACCAAAAATTGGATTGCGAAATATAGCCTTATGTTAGTTAAATTATGCAAACTAGAGGTTGCTTATGCTTTAACTATTTTTTTGGATTAGTTGCTAAGCTATATATTATGTGGTCAGCTTGCAGATCTTGTTGGTGCATTGCCGAAAAAACTAGTCGTCTTCGTTACTCATCACCATTATGACCATATTGACGGTGTGTATAAACTTGTAATTGATGCAATACTACGATGCTATTCTTTAACTATGACGAATCATTAGTTCTTTTTTATAATTTTGTGAATGAGTGAAGCCTCTGTAGGCCTGTGATATTTGTCGGAATGCATCTCTTGAAGAACTCGTTTATGTGGCTCAGCCATGAAAGGCAATATTGATGAATATAAAAATATAAGAACTTTATACAATATTGGTTCCAGCAACAACATCTAGATAATGTAGTAAAACAGAAGAATTGTACCTCAATACTTTCATGTTTTTAATAAGATTATGTAACTTTCTTATTGTTATATACTTTGAATAATAATAGGTTAATTGGTTTGTCAGGTCTTTCAATTGTCCAAAAATACAATCCAGATTCAATTCTCTTGGCACATAAAAATACCATGAGTCGAATCGGCAAAGGTAATTTCACTTTATGCTTCCTTATTTCTTTCTGCTAATTATGTATTTCTTTTTTACTCTTACATGCTCGATATTTTTCCTCCCATCAAAAATTTTACTAGCACATGTTTTTAGCAAGCCAAATTCATGCTTTCAAGCGATGCTGAAGTTTTATGCCTTAGATTCTTTCAAATGATGGTTTTCATCTAGTTGCTTGAGTGATAAATGGAGCCTCTACTACAACTTGAAGGCTCCATGTGGGTTTGTTTTTATAAAAAAATCATGTTTTAGGAACTGGCTAACTGTCACTAATCTTTGATGGAGACAGACATGGCTCCCGCTGACGCCGTGACTTGTACTTCTTTTTTACACATCCCCTTTCTTTTATATAATCTTTTGCTGTGTATGTATGATGACATGCCATGGTCCAGAGAGAAATATGAAGAGAAATTCCTTTCTTTGTGATACTCTTCCAACCTCTCTCTGCCACCACAATCAACATCTACCCAACAAAAAAAGGGGAACCTCAAGTCCCTCAATCCCTGAAGCCTGTATCATTGTTTATTGGAGAATTGGGATTACATAAGTTCGGTCTTGGTGTTCTAGGCAAACAATTTTCTGAGCAAAGCAAAAGTCCCTTTGTTGTTAGCCATCTAACATCACTTTTTCTAATATCTGCAGGTACTTGGTCTCTTGGTTATACATCGATTTCTGGCGGTGAGAAGATATGCATAGGTGGACAAACTTTGGAAGCAATATTTGCTCCGGTATGCTTAATTGAATGGCACCGTACCATTTTATTGGAAAATTTTAAGCTTTTATTTATGAGATTTATGCAGCCTTGTGACAACTAGACACTATAGCATTACATATTAGTATGTAAGCTAAGGGATGTTGTGTATTTTGTTGTCTTGAACTAGAGATAAAAAAATAACTTATATATGGAGAAAGAATTCATCCACAGTGTAAGTTATTTATGTTCGTCAGCCTGCAGCATTTTTTATTTCTAATTGAAAAGGTATGAAACATGGAGCACAAAGTTCCATGAAAGATTCGAAAAAGTTTTGCAACAAAACTATCCACTTTATGTTAACCCCCTGTAACTTAATTTAAATTTCTTGCGAAGCAAACTGTGAAGAGGTGGAGTTGTCATTATCTTTGGTAGTTTTCTCCAAATTCTTCTAGAAAGAAGGAGAAATATGATGAGCGTCTATATATAATTTCATCTGATTATGACAATATGCTTAAATTTGATATCATTTTCAAAATTGTGGCAATGACAGAGTTTTCAACAAAAACGAATCTAAACATCATCAACTGTACCAGGAATATGCAGAAAGTTTATAATTATTGTGATTTTATATAATCTTCTCCTTAAACTATTAGCTAACAACCATCTTCTTTTCCTCTAATTTATATAGATCATTATGTTGAATAATCTGAGATCCTTATTTTTATCTGATATTACTTGCATAAGTCTTATTAGCCTCTCCTGATGATAGTATTTGTTATGAATTAACACCTCAATTAATTTCTCAGGAAAAAAATGGTGGAAATTTTCCCCACCAATGGACTTAATCTTCTACAAGAAACTGCAGTTTTTCCTATTCCTTGTCTTCGTGTTTTTCGTTGTGCTTGTGCACTACTTTCGTGGAATTTTTGTAGTATATTCCTGTTCTCTCATTTTAAAATACTTCTCATGGTGCTTTATATTTAATTCAGGGTCATACTGATGGTCATCTTGCTCTTCTACATGTTAGTACAAACTCGCTTGTAGTAGGAGATCATTGTGTAGGGTAAGAGTTCCTATTCGAGTATAAAGACCAGTTATGAGTTTTACGTTAAAAAATGTTAAACAATAGGGAAAAAACTAGATCTTGTTTAGCTCAATTAGAAATGAAATTGATATTGCTTCTTTTTCACAGATAATTGCTCCTTTGTATGATTATTGGAGAACGCGAGTCATAGTACTCATTTTTTGTGCGTTACATCTACTCCAGCTTTCATTTCTTACTATAGGTTCTCATGGTGTATTGAATCCTAGATTGCTGATGTGACAGCTCGAGGAGTTATAAAACCTCTGTCATTTCCTATTCTAGGTTCTTATGATCTGTTGAGTTCTACAGTGACTATCGTGACTGCTGGAGAATTATAAACCTATTCACTTCAAACAAAGTATGACAATCTTTCTGTGCGATCGAGTTCTACAGTGACCATCGTGACAGTTCTACAGTGACTATTATGCCATTGTAATGTTGTTAGGTTGGTAAGCCCTATGTTTTTAGTATGGAAACCATAATCAGAAATGTTAAATGTACAAATGATTATCAAAATTTGGTATTCAGATGTCTGTCCGCACTTATGGAATTTAAATGGTCGGTAGATAATTCAATGATGAAATGCCAGCTGAAATGTAACATTCCTCACCTATGTTACGGGGCATTTAAATTGAAACTCCTAACCCCTGAAGTGATCAAAATAATGTTGACGATGCTCAACATCTTTTATTTGGTTTTTGTAACTTCCTAGGTCACAGAATTTGTTAAATTTTACAATCCATTTTAAGGCCCTTAGATGCAGAGGTGAGGGGGGAAAAACTCTCATGGTCATTCAATTTTTAGTAGTTAGCATAAGTAATGTTGATCAAGATGCATGGAATGATTTGTAATTTGAAATGTTCGACGAGTTAGAGGAATTTTTTCTAACCTATCTGATATCTCATGTACAAACAATTCTCTTTTTAGTCTCTGTCCTGTTAATTTGGTCATCAAGTTATAAAAGAAGCT